GCAACATGTCTTCAATAGTGTGTCAATAGAAGGTCAATATCACGTATAGTGTCAAATCAGCATAGTCTTCAATTTACTCAGGGTCGAAAACTCGCAGCAACATTCCCCAAACCCCCCAAAAAATGTTGCAAAAAATTGCAAAATGGACTTTGAGGGGCAGGTCCTCCCAATCCACATCCATTCCACAGGTACAGAGGTGGCATATGCCAGCCCCGCCCCCCCCAAAATCTTGATCTCCAGGACCTTTTGGTGCTCGCCTGTAGGACCGTTCCAAGTTAGCTGATGATACCTTGGCTGGTAAAGGACAACAGTTATACAACATGCCTTCACTGCCACAAATAGTTAACCATTTGCATCTTGGATAGGAATGGTTGTTTGGGCAGGGCAGCAGGTATAAATTGTAAAATCAAACAATATCAAGCTATATAATCATATATAAAACAATATAGGCTGAAACAGCCAGTTCACAAGGTAGCTCCAATCTCCCTTGTTTCCCAGCACAATTGGCCACATAGTCCCTTCAAGGCCCAGGTCAACCCCATCGCGTTCCGCTGCTGCCAAATCCCGAACTGCAATCGAGAATAAAGCATTCCACACTCGACGATCCTCAGAGTAATGGTCCTGCATGCAGCACAAGGCACCCCAGCTAGGAGGCAGTTGGTTTTGTTTTCAACATGTTCCAAAAACATTCTAACCGATGTATGTTTTTCTTTGAAGAAAATGAAAAAGGACACGTTTGAATCCCAGTCCTTGGGACACACCAAGATCAGCATGCGTGTGTGGAAACCAGTTCCTAAAAAGTTCAATGGGATTTCATTCCCAGCAGCATGATCAGGTGCAGGCTTTTTTGATGTTCCATATCCCAAAACCCCTTGGAACGACAATACCAAAACTCCTCCTTTCTTTTACGTGACGCCCTCGTCGCCGTGCAGCAGAATCGGCACGCATCTTTTGATGTCTTTCTTTCTAGAATCTACATCTTTCCATAGCTGGTGGTTGGGGCAAATGGCCCTGTAGTTACCCCAAAATTTGGTAAGAACACCTTCAGCTTCCCGTAGGTTTGCCTTTCCACCCAAAAGATGGGACATGTCGTTCATGCGGCTCATGGTCTTTAAGAAGTTAGTTGGTCTCAACCAGGGAAACCCTTCAAGTGGACATTCTTTTTCAATGGTGATCTCCACAGGGTAGTAGAACTTGTACTCTTCAAAGACACGGACCACAGTTTCTTCCTGATCTCGGATCTTTGGTGCAATCCAAAAATCATATTTGGAAATATGTTGAATCCTGTTGTGCACATTTTCCCCAGGGGTTGTTTACCATTTACATCTTTACACCATTTTCCCCAGGAAATCAAACTTGTTTTGAAATCAGCTGAGGGACTGATTTTCTAGGGTCCACGTCCCGGAGCGCTGTCAAGACAGGGCACAAGTACCGAAGCTCTTTGCCACGACACTGGGCATCTCGCCATTCTGCATCAGCCATCCGTAGGATGTCCACGCATTTCTCCTAAATCAACGGAGTAGCACGACAGTGCATGCATGGATTCAGGGACCATTCAGGGTAAAAATATCCAACATATATAGGACCATCCATGCATCACAATCCCAAACAAAAATTATTATATTGAAGCATCGATTGCATGGAAAATGATTGCTTCGAATCAGAAACATAGATTCATATACATGTGTGTAATCCAAGATTGACATTTTACAGCCGAGTGTCGCCACGGCCATACTTCCAAGCCAACTGCTTGGCTTTGTGTGAGGGACCTGGCATTCTGGCGAAGGGATGTGTGGGCTGAATGTGCAAAAACTAGAAAGGGGTCACTTGTGAGAAGTTATATACCCCTTCCTATATACCATGACAAGCTACCATGCAGCAGCACTTTTATACCATTTTGCTGCACTTTGGTATCCTTTGTGGATGTTTCTGGCATGGATTGGGCAATTGTGGTAATCCACAATGCATGACATGAAAGGTTCCTAAGGCGCCTTTCCCCGGGCGCTTCAAATGGAAACTATATTTGCTATAAGACTTTGAGAAATTGCGGTGTTCACTCATGTGGTTTTCCACATGGTCACCTGCCCCAACAGCATCCGCTGAAATCAAAAGGTTGAGAAACAAACAGCTTCAAACATATAGTTTCCGTTCTAGTTTCCATGTCTTGATAGTTTTCAAATTATATATAGTTTCAGAACCAAATGAAGATACCATGATACAATTTCACCCCTGAAGAGACTGGGATGCTCAGGCTCGCTTCTTCTTCTTGCTGGGCTTGCTCTCAGACCCAGCGTCAGGAGTCTCAGCAGGCTCAGCGAGGGCCTTCTTCTTCTTGGAAACCTTCTTAGACTTAGGGTTCTTGGGGTCATTCTGATCTTTGTTCTTTCGAGATTTCTTGGGCTGGCTTTTGGCCTTGGGCTTGCCAGATGAATTCCGGGAAGGCTTGTTCGGCTTGTTGTCCTTCTGCCACTGCCTGCGCACGTGCAAAAGGGGAAAACACATGTAACTCCCTTTGAATTTGGATGTGAAAATATATCCCAAATATCTTTGAAGTGCGTTGGACATGACAGCGACGGAAACTATATGTATATAGTACCATGCCTGTAGCGAGCATCGATGGGGATAAACAATGAGCACCTGAGATGACCCCCCCAATCAATGAGTGCATCTATAATATATATAATAAGAAAGCCAGTTGCAAAACATCCATTCAACAATTCCAATGCACAGAATGATTATATATAGGTGCATGTATGGCACTGCTTTCTCACAACGTTCTTCTCGGCACTGATTTCACCAAGAAGCCTTAGTTGTTTTTGAGATTCCCATCGGGATTGTTATATTAAAGCATGTTGCAATTTGTCACCCATGGCACGAGATACCACCGTTTGGTGGCTTGGTCGTTTGAAGGATCGGTGAACTAAATACACAAAGAATGGACCTTCCTGGCCCTCCTGGATCGATTCACCACCATCTCTGACATTTCGAAAGCCCGGTTGTCCTCAACGCGGCGGGGCTGATAATATCATTGGTAGTTATAATGTATATAAATCACTATATATAATCATGCACATGCCATGGGGAAACTCACTATATAGAATATAAATTGATACAAGCTTCCTTTGTGTCTCTGAATAATCGCAGCCTCCACGAAGGAGGTTGATATAACTTCATGGGATACATAAACCACAGTCATCTTTTCCCAGCGATCTCTTTCATGAATGTACCCGAAGACATCATTGTAGAATCTGTAGATCGGGCAGTGTGTGTAGCCAGCCTTGAAGATGCAAGGCTTCTGCCTTTCCAATATTTTGTCAACGGCAGCAAAGACATGGCAGAGAATTTGACCAGCTAGTCGGTGCCCCCGGGGAAGATCATATTCTAAACGGTCATCTACCTCTATTCTCTCAAAGCAAGTGCATGTTCTTGGTAGCTGGAGTACTGCCCTGTCTAAGGTGTCGCGCCAATCCAATCGTCGTCGTCTTTTAGCTGGTGAGGCCACTCCTGGAATGGGAAAGGTTGGGAAGAACCAGATAAACAGAATGCGTTACCCCAACAAATTTGTGAATTTGCGGACATCCCCCACCTGCAACAAGAGGGGTAGATGCAACCCGGTCGATTTTGGCCTGACATTGGCCCAACATGTTGGGAACTGATTTTGTTGTGCATGGCTTCAAAGAACCAGCATGGCTTTAAATATGTGGCAAGTATAAAGAAACACATTCATTCATGGGCCTCCCGGTTGTACAGAATAAGCTCTTGCAGCCACTCTTCATTCTCATCGTTGGGATGGCCAGTTGAAGCCATCGGCAAATCCGGTAGGCATCCCCATGCCAAACATATAAAACCCCATGTTTGGCTTTAGTTACTCAGAAACATGGGCCAAAGTTTCGGAAACAAAACAAAACATGTTTGAGAGAATTTCATCAAGCATGTAAATATACACATGGCAAGACTTTTCAACATGCAGTCATATAGACAGCAACCCCGCATTCTATCATATATAATTGAGAATTCCACCCTGCGAAGTGTTGAACAAGCAGCTCAGTCAAACGGTCACTCTTGGCCAGGCCCTCTTGGTGCTCAAGCTTGAGCTCGGTGATTTGCTCAGAGAACTTGCTGTGGCTGGCATCCATGGAATTGGACAGGACCACAAGCTCATCCTTCAACCTAAAACATGATGATGGGATGTGATAGGAGATAAACTGAACTGATCCATGTTGTTTGGCATATATAGTTTGATCCCTACGTTGCTATGTTTGATTTCTTGTGGAAGTTCCAAACATAATAAGGATGTGACTTCGTGGCTGTGACATCGCCCTTCGTAGCTTCAAGTGTTTCCACCATCTTGTTGACCGTTTGCGCCTTCTTCTGGAGACACACCAAGTAGCTTTCGAGGTCAACCAAGGGCTGGCAGCGAGCAGCTGGAACAAAGGACAGAGGGAGGTCATCTATTGTACCATGTTGAGCCTATACGTTTATGCAGTTTTAGACATATCCGCTTATGTTGTTTGCAATGCCGGTCCTTGGATCCCACAACATCAGGCTGTGGAACCGGTTCCGGGATGGTCACAAGGTTTGAAGGCAATCTCTGTGGGGCATCCTTGGAAGTCTTGTCCTAAGCTAGCATACTTTTGAAAAATTGAAAGCATGATGGGCTGAATGTGACATGCCCCGTAAACATACACAACTTTTGGACATTGTTGGAATTATATTTGGACATTGGGTTGTTGAAGTTGAAGTCATGTGTGTAATCCCAGCATTCAAAAATAAGATCCAAGTTGCAGCCAGCTGCGTTTCCTCCAGCTCTCTGGTCGTCTCGGCCTTCTTCGTCGCTGACTTGTCCTCGTAGATCACGTAGAACTCGGTCACGTCGCTGTTGTACTGCCAATTCCTGCAGGCACAAATGCGTTTGGCAGGCAGGTTCTATATATAGGCTTGTGTGCATGTTGTACACCTGCAAAGGGTCTATAATAATGTCATATATAGATTGTATTTTATTATATATAAATGCATTTTTTAAATATATGCTGTATCCAAAAATCAGTGCAAGGCTGATATATGGCCCCACCCATGCATTGAGTCACATGTGCACCTGCAGAGTGACTCCGGAAATCGTCGGCAGTACTGGATAATGCTTTTGATCTCGGTCTTCGTCCACTTCCCTTCTTCATGGCTTCTTCCGTATACCAACGTCCTGTCACCTCGGACTCCTTAGACTCCATCTTTTCCCTGATGACTTTGCATTTCGCAAGAAAGTCTGCCTGAGAAGAAGGGAACATGGACTCGTTTGTATATCATCACAACCATGACCACATTTATAGAACATTGTGTTTTTATAAAATTCCAAACCAGGCCTTGATCTTCTTGTAGTGACACCTCTTGGTCCCAAAGCGACCCAATGACTCTAATAGAGCCATTTCTAAAATCTCTCTGCTCTCACCTCCCCGTTTGAAGTCCTCTGCAATCTTCTCATCGACGTAGCACTTTCCACTGGGTTTGCGTTCACAAAGGCGCCTGGTCCTCATTCGTAGTGCGTCCGGTGAGATGGACACCTTGGGTATCGCAGGCCCCCCAAAGATTTTTGACCCAAGGGGTTATTTGAAAAGAACATTCATGATGATATAAGTATATAGAAATTACATTGAACATCATTGAACTCTTGTGCATCAAAGTTACTCTGACACCATTTGGGGTAGTAATGGTATCGTCATCATCTTCATCATCTTCATCTCCATCAGAACCAGTGTCAGACTTATCACCAGCAGACGGAGCACCGGCTTCACTCGGTGGGGGAGGGACCCTTTTCCCACGCGAAGAGCCCTTGAGTTTCATGTCATCATCAGGTTGAGTTTCTTGTTTGTTTACCTTTGCCTCCAGCTCACCTACCTTGGCCAACGTTTGTTTCAACAAATCGACCATCTCTGTGTTTTCCTTGGGTTCCGGGGGTGGCGGCGAGGACTTGCTCTGCAAAGACCCTTCGAGTTCCTTGATCTTGTCGAGCAAGGCATGGTGCTTCGCCTGCTCCTTTGCAATCTGGACTGCAGCGACCTGCTTGCGAGGGATATATGATATATATGATATATATATATATAAACGCTTTTTGTGTTATACTGAAATATAAAATGATAAGGGTTTGAACCCCGATAATTCTTTGAAGTGCCTTCTGTGCAAGCAACTGGATCTGATCATCGGTTGCCACAGGAGGGGTCACCGGTGAAATCACAGGTGAAGGCTTACCACCAGACATGTGCTCTTGGATCTGTTGCGTGTCCTAAAGAACAGCATATGCTGCGTTGGCAAAAGGGAATTCGATTGGGCACTTAATGCCATGCAGTTCATCAGTTCATCCCAAGAATATACAATATTCAGTATAGATATGTTTCATGCCCAGCATCTGCAGCAACGGTGGCTTGGGAATCTGTAGGTTCAACTGGTGCAAGGGATGGCACCTTTGTTGTGTTAACAATCGGTTGGAAAATGAAATATATAGGAACATCAGTTCAATGACTTATAAATGCATAAGTCACTATAGAAAGTCAAAGACACCCGAGGAGAACTCACACGCCGGGTCTGCTGCGGTGTCACGGCAGGCTCAAGTTTGACTCGCTTTCTGACATCATCCTCAGGCAGGCTGGGAGGAACTATTTGGTCATCCCATGTTGGTATATACATGACACTTGTTTGTTCGATGTAAATAGGTATATAGCTTTCAATTCCGAGAATGTCATATATATATTTTTATGTTATATATAATATAATACCATATAATTCTATATAGCTGTATATATACAGTTCATGGCACTCCATGGAACAACAAAATGCAATCAAGAAACCTTTTGTCGAAGGGCATCCAGCACAAGCTTTGTTACCTGACCCAATGGTGCCAGCATAGATCAGTATATTGATATTGTTTCCCTATATGCATGTATATTGCTGTGAATCTTCCAAGCACCGGTGGGTTTCCAGTAGCGTAGCCTGGTTTCAACATGATTATATGGCTCTTTGACATAAAGATATCTGGGCCTCATCACTGTCTCCAGAAGAGAGGGAGATTCCAGCCATTTGCGCGCAAGCTGCCACTCCTTCCTGGAGAGTGGAACAGCTCCATGCCCTGGACGGAAGGGACTTAACCAAAGAGTCCCTTGACATGTTTCCTTTACTGATCCTCCCAACTAAGTTCGAGCACTGCTACGCCAAATGGCTATAAAAGGACACATACCATGAAATCCTTCGTCTCAAGGTAGGGAAGCAATATGAGAGAGAGATGCAGTTCTGAAATCAGTGTGTCCAATGGCCAACCCACTCATGTGAACACTATGATTCCTTTTTCTCGGTCATGCTACTATAAATGAAGCAAGGTTGGCAACATGGCATGGATTGAGCTGTGGGAAATCCCAACGGCCTTTTGGTGGTTTCAATGGTTTTGATCAATTTTCAATTGGTTTTGATCCATTTTATGATTTTTTTGGACTGACCCTGGGGGTGCATTTTTGAGGCTGAAAAATTACGTAATATTTACGTAAAAATTGCACATCTCGAACGTAATTGAACGTAATTGAACGTAATCTGAACGTAATCCGAACGGTTTACGGTTATTCACGTCCACAGCATGGATATTCACGTCCAAAACCAAATTGTAAAAAAAACATGTTTTTTTTGGGAAATGATTTGGTTTTCAACATTTTTCAACCTTTTATGGGAATCTCACCATGGTGTGATGAGGGGCCATTTTGCGAAACCACCAAATTCAAATGGAATAAAGGGTTTCACCCCTGAGCCGACCCCTGGCTCTTAGACTCAAGGCGGTGTAACACCTCAAACGCTGGTGGAAATGCATTTTTCCAGTCATATCCAACCTGGAGGTCCTTAGCACCACGAAGGTACCTAATACAAGGCATCAAATGAGCCTCGTCCCACGTGGACCAGACCATATTTTCAAAGGTCTCAGGACCACTGGTGTTGTCATCGATTGGAATTACGGGCATTCCCTCAGCTTTGGAAGTCAGATCTGGAAGTAGCTCTTTGATCTTCTCTGCGAATGGGACAGGGTAGACCCTTAGCGCACTGAACTTGGAAACCAATCCATAATAAGTTAAAGGATCCATTCAAATATATAATTGAATCATATACTTGAGATGCTGGAAAAGTTGAAATGTAGGTTGAATTGATGCATGCAAAAACAAATGAGGACCCCACTGTGTTCCTTTAAGTTCAGATGTCCCAACGTAACCAACTCGTCCATTGGTCTTGCTGATGGTCTTTCGAACCGTTTTGATGGAGCATTTATCCTTATCAGCTTTTTTGAGGGGGCCTCTGTTCAGCTTCGAGAAATAGCGATTGTTTGTCCACCCCTGCTCTGGCTTCGGGGAGGCAGAGCCAAAGTGCGCCATCCACCATTTGAAGTGGAATACCTCGGAGGCAGGAAGTGTATATTAGGGATTTCAGATGGTGGGTGAAATTGCTTGATCCATATTCTTGGATTTATAATAAATGCATGTCTATAAAAAAACCTTTATAGGTAAGCTATATGAAATAGAGCCCAATAATATATTATCATCATAATATGCTATATAAGTTTGGTTCATTTATAGTCTATATAGTGACCCAAATTGGTAAATCACTTCTATTATATTTAAGCCCCGGTGCCCGAAGACGAGAACAAAGCCATTGAAATCTGAAGTAGTGACCCATGCAACTACTCCCTGGTTGCTCCAGTAACCAACTGCCACCCAAGCATGTGATCAATCCCATTAGAAGCACACACCTCAGCTGCGATAGATTGGAACCCCGGTGAATAAGTCTATGGCAATAGTGGATCAATTGAGATCGATATAAGAAGGGGGATATCCTAATTTGAACACAACAAAATATTATACGTATATAACATATTAAATATACACCAGAAAATCATGAATACCAAAAGAACATGTTGTTTTTTTTTTTTTTCCATTGAGAGTCCTTGACATCATTGTGTTTGCTTCATTGATATATTTCTTCCCGTTTGGTCCACAATCTCCTTCTGGCAAAAGCTTTGATCGACAAGATGTAAATTGATTTATTGCCACCCAGCTGGAACATACTGTTGCGAAGAGCACAGCGAATGCACTTGGGCGAGCAGAGAGGATACAGTGCACCATCATCCTCGGATAAACATTGCTGCGTTCATGTATACTATATAAATGCACTGGTTCATACAAGTGAAGTAACTTTCCTTCATATTAATGTCAGATATATCATGTTATATTCTTGATCTGGTCTCAACATGTGTGCCTCTAAGTATGGTACGTGAATCCACTTGGCGACAAAATATCAAAAGGACTTCGGTGTTCATCATTCGGCCATGGTTTGGTATCATAGCTCAAGTCCAAGCCGATAGCACTTTCAGAATCAGCTCTTACAAGCCGCCAGCAATTGCCTTCACCGGCGAAAAACTCCAAGAAATTCAACTCCTGCAAGCCGCGACGGTGGTATAGTTCCATATGTGGCCAGTCCATATATAAACATGCGCCATGCATGAACATGGTGACGAAGTTTTGTATATATAATTACACGCATGATCATATCGAACTAAAAAAGAATATGTTTCTTCATTGGGTTCCACTCCTTTGAGAAGCTTGGCAGTGTTGCCAGGGAAGATGTTAGGATCACCATATATACGAACGCCTTAGGGCCAACAGGAAATGAACTCATTACCGGTCTGGGTGGCAGTGTTCAGAACATACACTGATCGATCGCAATCAAATAACATCAAATATCGAGCCGTGATCATGTGCAGGGTAAAGTTGAACAAATCTAAACTGCACATATTTTCCTCGTAATTTGACCAAATCACGTTTCAACATCTCAAACATAGGAATGTGCAATATCATGGGTGCAAGAGGTCATGCAGCCATGTAACTTTGGGAAGGCCCAAAATGGACATTTGTTTGACCAAGGTGGGCAAGTTCCTTTTCCCAGCCATCACAAGAGCGTGCTTCACTTTGTTCGGGCTTTGTTCGGGAAGAGCCAAATACATTCTTCAGTGTTCGGACGTGCGTACGTTGAAGCTGCCAAACTGCACAACTATATACAGAGTTGCATGCATGTGTATATATATAATCAAATTCTAAGTTCAAATTGTTGGGGAAGTTGAGCGTGTCAAGATTCTTGCTATACAAGTTTGGTATCATGTATTCCATATCAGGCACTGTTGCACCCCTCTATCAAAAACAATTCTGGTATCAAAATATGTCGGGTCCACCTTCTAGAGTCGACTTGACCACCTTCCCTTTGTAGGCCAACCGGAAACCCTTCCGGATTGTCTTCTGCACAGGTCTCGGCATCCAAAGCGCCAAAGGAAGTCCTGGCATGCAGGCTTGGCACAAAAAATGGGATGGTGGGGTATTCAGAAGGGATACAGGGTTATTACTTTTTAAATATATCACCAAGCATCAACATCCAAATTTGTTATTGGAATACTATATATCAACATGTTCTTCAAAGATGTGGGAGTTTAAAAGATGATAGTGCCAGAAACAGTTTAACCACTGGAATGTCAACCCATCCATTTTCCTCGTCGACCACTCTCATCATCAATACCCCGGGCCGCTGATTTCACAGCACGTTGGGAATTCCAACGCCGCAAGAGAGATACTCAATGTGACCTCCTGCCCTCGCCCTCCATGTTCGATGGAGAAAAGCTTTCAGCATTCAATGAACAAAAGTATACACCGACCAAGTTAATGAACTATCGTTGCAAAGAATGGAAACCAACAATTTAAACAATGTTTCATTCTATAACAATTGTTTCTGTTTGCGAAGGTTCTACGAGGAGCCATCATTGCTATATATTGACTTCCCTACGATTTGAAGTGTATCATTTCCCCAAAGCACCATCGCTGCAAGCAGACCCAAGTTTCAAGTCACGTACCATGAAACAT